TTCACACCCAGCGGGTTGTTGCACATGCGTGTGTGAAAATATGGTATGAGAGTATTAACGTCGTTCGGCTGAGTGGTTGTCCGCCTTTCAGCGAGACTGTTTACATGCACTTCCATTGGAGGCCTAAAACGTAAAGCCACTTGTATGTTATAGGTTTCTGGCGGGGTATCTGGCGAAACATGAATACAGCCAGAGTTGTGTTTGCATCCAGCGGAAAGGGGGGCTTCACTCTGGCGCAGATAATATTCGCAGGCCGCGAAACTGTTTTTTCGGGACCTCTTCGCTCATGATTGCTTGAGGTCCTCCCCCCCCCGACGGGCACCAGACCACCCGAGAATGCATCTGGGTCGTCTTCGGGGCTTCCGAAACGCTCGGGGACAGTCTTACGTTGCCTCCAGACGGCTCCCGAAGTTCCCCGGACGCCTCGAGAAGATCCCCAACAGGGCGCTAGGAAGCAACAGTTTGTATTGGGAAGGCCTTACGGCCGGCGTCGCCGACCCTGAAAGTGGGACGACGAACACGACGGCGGCGTCGGCGGCGACGGCGACGCTGACGTGGGGCAGAGTCTCAGTGATGCGGCCTCTTCGGAGCGCGATCTTAGGCCTCTGGGGAGCAGTTTGGGGGCCTCTTGGGGGCATCTTGGATGCCCCTTGGGAGCCTTTTGGGGGTCCTTTCGGGTTTCCTGGGGGTCTCTTGGAGCCTCTTGGGGCCTCGTGGGGGCCTCCGGGGGGCCTCTTGGGGCCTCCTGGGAGCTTCTCGGGGCCGAGAGCTCGAAATAGTCGTTCGGGCTCCCGTGTGAGCACCCTCTTGGAGCCGTTTGGGGGGCATCTTGGGCCAGCTTGGAGGCTTTTAGGGCCGCCATGGGGCCATCTTGGGTCGTCTGGGGGCCGACTTGGAAACCTCTTGGGGGCATCCTGTGCCGATCTTGGTGGCATCTTGGGCCGTCTTGGAGCGTCGGAAGGCGAAAAGGCGACAATGCTATAATCTTTCAAAACCCAAAGAAAAGCATTTAACTTTGCCTGTTGGGTCCTCTTGCTGTGCTCTTGGAGGCCTCTTCCAGCGTGTTGGAAGCTGCAGCTGCTCAGGGTGTCAGGAGGTCATCTTGGGCGTCTTGAGCCGATTGTTCGGCGATTCGGGGCCTCTTGGACCGTGTTGGGGGCCTCTTGGGATATCGTGGAGCTTTTGGGGGCCCAAGGACCTCCCAGGGGAGGATGGCATTCTGACCCGGGGACTCATTTGGAGCCGTCCTGGGGCTATCTCGACGCCTCAAGAGCCGACCGTAAACGAAAAGGCGAGAAGACCAAAAACATTGTTTTTCCTATGGGTTTTCATTGATTTTCAATTCTCTGGGCATTCTTCGGCCAGCCTTGGGCCTCTTTGGGCTCGTCGGGGGACTCATTTGGAGCCGCCCTGGGGCGATCTTGACGCCTCAAGAGCCGATCGTAAGCGAAAAGGCGAGAAGGCCAAAAACATTGATTTTCTAATAGGTGTTCATTGAATTTCAGGGGCCTTCTTGGGCCAGCCTTGGGCCTCTGTGGGCCTCGGCTTGCGCCTCTCTGGAGCTATCCTGGGGCTATCTTGACGCCTCCCGAGCCGACCGGAAGAGAAAAGGCGAGAAGACCGAAAACATTGTTTTCCAATGTTTTATTTTCGAACCTCCGGGCCCTCTAGGGCCAGTCTGTGCCCTCTTTGAGGCTCGTTTGGGGACTCATTTAAAGCCGTCCTGGGCCGATCTAGATGCCTCAAGAGCCAATCGGAAGCGATAGGGCGAGAACACCAAAAACATTGATTCTCCAATGGGTTATCACGGATTTTTAATTTTGGGGGCCTTCTTCGGCCAGCCTTGGGCCTCTGTGGGCCTCGGCTTACGCCTCTCTGAGGCCATCCTAGGGTCATCTTGACACCTCTCGAGCCAGGGGGAAAGGAAAATCGAGAAGGCCGAACACATTGCTTTTAAAATGGGTTTCCTCTGTTTTCCGACTCTCCGGGCCCTGTTGAGCCAGCCTTGGGCCTCTTTGGGGCTCGTCTGTGGACTCATTTGGAGCCGTCCTGGGGCGATCTTGACGCCTCAAGAGCCGATCGTAAGCGAAAAGGCGAGAAGGCCAAAAACATTGATTTTCCAATAGGTGTTCATTGAATTTCAGATATTTGGGCCTTCTTAGGCCAGCCTTGGGCCTGTTTGGGGCTCGGAGCCGGCAGCCCAGCAGCGCGCATGCCGAAAATAGCATGTTCTGTAGGAGGTGGAGGAAGAGGAGGAGGAGGAGGAGGAGGAGGAGGAGGAGGAGGAGCAGGAGCAGGAGCAGGAGGATGAGGAGGAGGAGGACGATTAGGAGGAGGAGGAGGAAGAGGAGGAGGAGGAGGAGGTAGAGGAGAAGGAGGAGAAGGAGGAGCAGGAGAAGGAGGAGGAATTAGAGGAAGAGAAGGAGAGAAGAGAAAGAGGAGGAGGAAATGGGGGCGGAGGAGAAAGATGAGGAGGATGCCCTGTTTCATGCTAGCCCAA